TACTGTTTAGGAGTTAAAATACTACCCAGCAGTCCCCAGCCAGTACCCCCTGCAGCTACAGGCTGTGGAGGGCTTGTACCAGAAGAAAACAGGTTAGAGCCACATCCAACATTTGAAGCATTCCTGTATGATGGTAGGACCATCTGAGTCTGAGCATGAAATACTGTCTCGAGTGCTTCAATCCTGACCTTGACAGAGGCAGAAAAGAAGTTTAAAAATTGATACCAGGTGAGGTATTTGGCAACTCACTGTTTTTTCACCAAAACTGCTGCTGAGGTTAGTGTAGCATTCCTCTGTTGTAGTGTCAAAGACACTTGTAATTCTGCTTGAGAGTTGTTCCCAAAAGACTCATCTCTGGGTTTGATGGTAAATGGAAGCCTGGAGGACCCTTTGAAAGTCTGAGGTGCTGTAAGTAAGAACCAGAGCAATGCCAGAAAGAGCACTGCAGCTCCAGGGCATTGAGCAGTGATGGACAGGACAGAAGTTAGTTTGGAATTCTGTGTGGGTCGCAGATGTCCCATAATGTCTGAATCTGAGGACTTGCAAGGGAAAGCAAAGCCAGAACAGATTTCAGACCTTGGTCTGATATCACAGCAGAGAGCCTTCCTCCTTTGTGAATGACAATAGTAACATACCCTGTTACACGTTACCTGTCTCACTGAGGCAGCAGGCCACATGCTAATACATTTGTTTCTTTATATGCTATATCCTTATGCTTTGCACTGTTTTTGCTGTGAACAGTAGTCAAGGAATACTCTACTTGCCCAGTCAGTGATGAATCCACCCAACCCAATATCCTGTCTCCAGCAGTGGTGTTGGGAGATTCTGTTCAGGAAGAGCAAACAAACCAGACTTCTCTCTGAGGACCACTCCCAGCATCCAAACATTACACACTCATCTCTGCCTTCTTCCTATTTACTGTCCATGAATGTGTCCATGAAGTTTTGGAACTGCTCATAATGTTTGCCTTTAAAACCTGCTGTGACTACATATTTCACAAGCTCATTGCCTGCCATGTACAAAAGCACTTTATTATGACTGTTAAATTTGATTTAGTGAACAAGTTTTTCATTAATCTTATTTCCAGGAAGCTTTCTCCTCTCCTAACTGAAAGCTCTCAGCTTTTTAAGGGTCCCTTGATAAGACAGCTGCACCATCACCCACATTTCTTTACCTGTCCTTCTTGGTACCTTCCCTCAGTCCATTCCATCCCTCTTGCAATGCTGAGAGCAGTGAAAAGCCTCAGTCAGGATGTGGGTGCTCCTGGGTTTTACACACTGGCAAAACCATGCTCTCTCCATTGTTCTCAATTCCCTTCCTGACAATGCTCAACAATTGGGTACTTCTTGTGGCTGATACTGCACATTGAGCTGTTGAATGAAACTGGGAATAACTAATGAGAATACACTATTGTCATCAAGGCTGGCAGTGATATGCAGTTAAAAATGGCCATTCTGACTTTTTTTTCTTTTTTACGCCCTATTCTATTGGCAGTCTCAGTGAAAGACAAATATTACCAGACAGGGTAACTGCTCCAAATTGGACAACTTTGGATCACCACATTTTTGCAGTCTTCCAATTCTGCCCAGAGAATTAGTAGTATTTCTTATGGTGTAAACTGGAGCACCCATAAGTAATATGCACATTCTTCCTGGACTTGTGTGCAGGGGCCCAACGTGACTTAAACTAAGGCCTCTTTTGAAAACTTGATCATCAGGATGTGGAATAACTTCTTTCTGACACTTCCATTTGAAGAGGCTTTATGACTCAGATGCACAAATTAATTTCTAGTGAGTTAAAAAGTAGAAGCTTTAGCCCAGAAGCAACACCTACCCAGTTTCATAAGCCTGTCATACATATAGTTTTAATAAGAGCCTGTCAAATAAACAAAACTCACCTATAGAAACAATTAGGCAGTAGCAGTTGTAATTTAGGAAATTTCCAGCAGGTTAGTAACAAGCTGTGAAGAGCCTGTGGCCTGAAATGCAACCTTGAGCCTCTAATTCCTAGGAAATTGTTTGTGTTGTGACGGTTATTGCTGCTGACCAACTAGCACCTGGAAGAGCTTTAAAAAAATTTGGCTTTTAATTTCTCTTTTCCATTTTCAGCATGTGAAGGCAGTTCTGGCATGAGTCACAGCTCTTTGAGATCCATCTCATCCTGAGGTGTGCATGGGTAGCAGTGAAACAGAGCATGCTATAAAGGGCAGAATCATTGATCGAAGGAAGCAATCAGGTACACGTGTGATTCTCTCTCCATGGAGCTCTCAAAATCTAATCAGAAAAGCTTTTTTAGAACCCTCCTCTCAGAATCCTAAGCAGTCTAGAGGACACAAATATTTCTTTAGAATCTGTACATAAAAAAAAAAAAAAGTTTGATTGCTACCTGTGGTTTTTTTTCCTCCAATGAATTAAACAGAAATTGCATTTCTGTTTTATGCTACAAAATAATTACACTTTTTAGTGCCTGGTGTTTCTTGACACTTTCTCCCCCTTTTCTTGTGGCCACCTTCAGCATATCTGAGTCTTTTCAAAGGTTTATGAATCTTCATAGTTCACTCCTCTGTCCTACAGAGAGGGTCCCTGATAGTTGGAGGGTAGGTACTTCCCAACATCCCAGAAATGTCTCTGGAAAGGAGCCAGTTCTCTCCTTGAGGTCTGGTAAGAGTCAGTCAGAGAGACACCCTGAAACAGTAACAAACCCAGGCTCTCTGTGTGCCAGTTGAAGCCGCTGTGCATAAATCCTACTGATGGCATTAGTTATGGTTATAATTAACGATATGCCATAAAGGTAACTTTTTACTACAATCCTAGAAATATTCTGCTTAGAGTCTCTACAAGCAAATCTAATGTAGTTCTCTACTATTTTGGATGCTTCAGAAACGAGACTGTGTCCCAGAACTTCATAGCCCTCCTGGGTCAGGTTCTCGACATACAAGTAGTCATACAATGTACACTCAGCCACGAGTGTTAATGGGAAAGTAATTAATTACAGATTCCATGTAGCTTGTATTTGAAAAGCTCCACCAGTTATACCAGATCCAGACAGACGTGGTGTGGTGAAAGGAGTTCAGCTTCCTGTAATAGTGATGTAGCTGCCCAGTTGGCTCTGTCGAGCAAAGAATTAACGTAGCCTAAGAAATGTAACACCCTTTGCATCTAAATTGGGTTCTGTGGCCTCTTCAATGAAGAAGAATGAGTGAACTTAAAAGTCCAAGGATGTCTAGAATCTGGAGATGGAAACATCAGCTTGGAGATACTTAAAACTTTAACAGGTGAGAATCCCACTTCTAGCTTTCTTGGTGTATTTAATTTTTTATTTTTTTCATTTAGTTTTCTCTTTCAGAGGGCTGCCATTACTGCTGACATCAGTGGAGAGATTCCCGCTGAATTTCAAGGCCAACTGGATTAGTTACCAGGCTTTTATACTGGAAAGGTATGTAATTAAAAAAAAGCCACACTGTTCCCACTTGGGCTGGAGCCAAGGATGGCCAAGCGTGCTTGCTCAAGTGCAGCTGTGGCACTTGAGGTGCAGCCCAGACAATGGAACCCAGTCTGGCCAGAAGCTGCAGTTTGGCAGCTTAGACCCACTGGGGGTCTGCCCAGGCATGGGGAACAGCAACAGGGAATTTATTTTATGAGTCAGAGCTGTAATTTCCAAATGGCAGGGTTTGATCTGCAGAAGTTATGTCAGCATAACAGCTTCACAGCAGCCAGTGAGACCTCTGTCAGGTGTGTGGTTTACCAGGAGGAGTCTTGAGCTGGAAAAAAATTCTCAGGGGTTTTGCACTGAATGGAAAGTGTAAAAAGTTTTATTAATGTTTTTTGTATAGTGTTTATTGCCTCATTTCAGTACTCCCTAACATTAAAGAAAAAACCCCAAAAACAACCCTTTTCTGAATTCTCTATTTCCTACAAATCTTACTGACACAACATGATGCCTATACGTCTACCTCCAGCTGTAGGTCTCAGCCTCCCAAACAGAATTCTGTGAGCCCTTACAGAATGACAGAATAGTTTGGTTTCAAAGGGACGTTAAAAGGTGATCTAGTCCAGCTGCCCTGTGATAAGCAGGAACATCTCCAACTCCATCAGGTTGCTGAGCCCAGCCCAATATGCCCTTTAACATCTCCAGGGATGGTTCATCTACAACTGCCCTCTGCAACCTGTTCCAGTGATTCACCACCTTCACTGTAAAACTTTCCTTCCTTATATCCAGTCTGAATTGACTGTCTTTTAGTTTAGAACAATTCCCTCTTGTCCTATAACAACGGGCCATGCTAAAAAGTCTGTCCCCATCTTTCTTACAATCTCTCTTTCAGTATTAAGAGGCTCTAATATGGTTTCCCAGGAGCCTTCTCTTTTCCAGAGAACAACCCCAATGTCCTTATTCTTGTGAATTTTCCCATGAACTCCCATGGAAATAGTTGCTTCCGTAATGCTATGCACATGTTTTGAGGGCTCAGAAAAGACAGGGAAATGATAAACATATGAGCTCAAAACTTCTGAGAAAATGAGGACTGCCAGCGTTTCCGTAATTGAAGATATGCTCTGTAAACTGTCCCTGCCTACCCCTTTCCCTTATGAATGAAATGTGGAACACTTCACTGAGCCTGGGAAGTAAGTTAAGGTTACAGAAGTGATTGCGTTTGATGATGTCACGTCCCTTTTGATGACATGGATAAAACACGATGACATGTCCAAACCCGTGCCTGGAGCGAGATGAGACTTTCTTGGGGGACTGTTTGGGGATGAAAAATGGTGCAACAAGCAGATCCCCTCACTGCGGCAGCCCCCCGGCGGGGCTCGGCTGCCCCTTACCCCGCCCGGGCCGCCTGTGGCGGCGGACGCCGGAGCCCCCGGGGCCGGGCTAACCTCGCCTTAGCCCTGACCCTTCTGCGGATTGCCCGCCCCCGAGCACCGTGCCAGGGCCGGCCGGGCGCGCCCCGCTCCCTCCGCGGCTGCCGACGGAGACCGGGAAACTTTCGGAGAAAGCCACTTCCTCGCCCGGCCCGGCTTGGCGGGGGGAGATGTCAGATGTCGGCAGGGAGAGAGGGAGGGGGGAATGCGGGGAAGCCGCAGCCCCTCCGCCCGCTGCCAGACGGCCATTTAAGCAGCGGCCGAGGGGCCGGCGGGAGGAGGCGAGCAGCGGCGGCGCAGGGAGGTGACCGGCCCGGCTCTCCGGCGGCCGTTGCCCCGCTCGCCCCCTCACTCCGCCCCGCGCAGGGCTTCCCCCGCGGCTCCGTCCCCCCGCCTCTCTTAGGGCGGGGCGCGGGGGAGGGCCGGGACGCCGGGCGGTGCGGGGCTCAGCCCGGCCATGTCTCCGGGGGCGGCGGCGTCGGGCTGAGCGGCCGTGCGCGCAGCGGGGAGCGCTCTCCGCCACCATGAGGCGGCTGCCCCTGCCCTGCCTCCTGCTGCTGCTGCCGCCGCTGCTGCTGCTGCCGGCCGAGGTGAGACCGAGCTGCGGGAGGCGGGGGGCTGCCGTGCCGCACCTGCCCCCGCCGCGGCTGCCCCGGCTCGGCTCGGAGCCGGCGGCCGGCGGGGCAGGTGTGCGGCCGGGCTCGGGCTTTGTCCCGCAGCGGCTCCGCCGGTGCCGCCCGCGGAGGGGAGGGCACGGGAGGCTGGGGCCGCGGTGTGGCCCGGCCGGGGCGTTGCTCACCTGGGCCGGGATCCCCGCGGCCTCCCCCTGTACCCCGCCCGGGCGCAGAGGGGCTGTGCTGGGGTTTAACCCGACAGTGCAGCTGCGTGCCTCCTTTCGGGGCGTGAGGCTGCCCCGGTTGTTTTCCTGGGTGAAAGCTGCCCTGGGTACAACAGGCACGCCTCTCGTCTCCCCAGTGTTGTAGCCTGCCCTCCTCGTGTCGCTGCTGGTTAATGATGTTAATAGGGTATATGTGGTAAGGGGGTCTTTGCGCATTGCCCGTGCCGCTGGTGCACATCACCCGCTGGGTTACAGCTTTCGGGATCAGCGCGGAGTTTCCACGGGAAAACGCTGCCGTGGTGCGGAGCGAGCAGCCCCAGCGGTGCCGGGCAGCAGATCAGCAGGAGGCCTTGGCCACCACGCTTGGCTTTGAGGCCCCGCTCTGTTCCCACGTGTGCTGCAGGATGTTCTTCCAAGAGCACCTTTCATTGATGTAAATCGGAATGGCGTGCCAGGTGACCCACTCAGCATGCTGGCACAGACTCTCGCCCTGCTTCCCGCAGCTGATGTGTTCTCAGTGTTCCCGTAGGAGTGCTTCTTGGCCGCTGTGAACTCTCATGTTCTGGGGCTTGCTGAACTTTTGCTTCCAGATGCACCCACTTGTCCTCTCTGCCTCAATGGTTTCTGCTACAGAAGTGTGAATGTGTGTTGATAGGAACCAAGGTGCTCAGTAATCTGTGGTGACAGATCTGCTTAGGAGCTGCTGAGCAGAACTGTACTGCTGCTTTACATTTTTGACTACTTTTCCTTACCTTGCATTGATGCCAGCTTGTGATTGCAGTCATTGGCTGCAATTGACTCTTGTAAACCTTTGCTTCCTCGTCTTGTCTGTTTCAGTTTGGAGTACCTTGCAGTGTTTTGTCGTTTGATCTCTGTTTGTTGTTGTACCAAGCCTAGGTTTAAAAATCTCTTTAGAATAAGAGCTAAAACTGAATTGGGTATTAAAGTACACCAGCATTTTGGAAGACCTCAGAGGAGGCCTGGATTGTCCTTGGGTACAGCCTTGCAGGATCTGCCTGCCATGACCTCTGTTTGCAGTTTTTCTTCTCAAGCTGGGTGTGAAATCTTGGGATTTAGTGATGTCTAATGTTCTCTTAAGTCAGGCTCTTAATTGATGTCTAGTATGATTAACAATAATACTAAAAAAAGTGGATCCACTCCTCAATTACATGTAGCTAAATTTATGCATTCATCATCTTGGGGCCCAGCTGTGGACCCTCAGCTAGGTCTTGTCATCCCCTGTGTAACCAGAGCTCCCATCAACATGCTGCAAGACATAGGTCAGATCTGCAGATTTTGGTGTGGCTCATTATTTTAGGTGGGTACTCTGCAGCTCATAGTGTCACTACTGAAAATTTAGAAGACAACATTTGCAATTTTGACTTAATTGTATCTGTGAATGTGAAAGCTGAGGCAACCTAGTCTCTGTTTACTGAAACTCTCAGGCTTCTTCACTAGTGCTGATCAGCACCTGGTGGAGTTCTGAACATTAAGACCATGTGCTTGACCTGCAGACAGGAGGGGAGAGAGGTCCTTAAGGATTTTTTTCCTTAGAGGACTAGGATGTAAACCAGGTGCTCACTGACGGTGTGATTCTGTAAATCATTCTCTCATTTGAATGACTAAATTTCACTGTACCCATTTACACCAGGTAGGGTGGAATAACTCAAGTTTGAAAAGTCATTATGTTTCTATAGCCTATAAGCAATAAGGATGCAGAATGAAGCCTTGCTTGGAGGCAATGCTTCAAGTGCAATAATCTTGTTGCCTGTTCCAGTGCTGTTCACACGGTCTTGCCCTCTAAAAATGAGGATGTTCTCTAACAGGGCAGAGTTTTGCTCTTTGTGTAGGGCCCTTTGCATAGGCTCAGGCAGGTGTTAGAGGTGGCTGGTGTTGTTTGGGGTGTGGCATGTGCTCAGGTACAGGGACATGGCCTGGCCTTACCTGGGGAGGGATGTGGCTGCTGTAGGAAGGTGACGGCAGCTGGCAGGACTGTCAGGCCTGTGGCATGAGCTGGGCTTCATGTGTTGCCAGTAAGAACTATTGTGCCTTCTCTGCAGTCTCCAGCCAGCCCCTGAGTGGAAAGGCTGGGGTGGAAGTGGCTCTTGGCCGGGTCTGGCCTCTGTGTTGCCTCTCAGATGGCTGTGGGGTTGGGGAGGGGACAGCGCTGCACACTGACACCATTGTGGGCCCAGCCACACGCAGAGACTGGGAAGCGGCCGGAGCTGTGGAATGGCTGTGTCATGGCAGCTCCTCAGTGGTGTGATGGGCACATGATCTTTCTGTGGTGCCTTTTACTCAAGGATAAGCATCTTGCTTATTTTTCAGGAATTACAACATAGCGGGCAAGGTTGGAGTTGTTAAAAAACACAAAATCTTGCTCTCTGTTTCTTGTTGAGAGGGATCACATCAGTGATATGATAAATAACATCTACAAGTAAAAGAGCAACAGACAGTGGTTTTGAGCTTGTTTTGGTGTGTAGAATTACAAGTGCCTTTTATGTGGGCCTAATAGCTTGTTGTTACATCTTATTCCATGCACAGAACTACTGATAATGTGTGAGTTGATTGTATAGGATTATGACTTAATTACTGGTCTGAATTTCCGAGTGATGAGTTTAAATGAAGAACCATTTTATCTCAAATGTGGGCTTGCCATGTGTGTATGTTGCATGTGAGATAATTTCTGCTATATATTGGTCATTATTAATCATCTTTGTTGTGTCTTCTCCTGCATAGTACACTAAATTTAAATTTTAGTTTGTGAAATTATTCTGAGTAATCTTCAGCACATGCAAGAAGAAGTTAATAGTAATTTGCATTTACCTTTGTGACTGATCTACATATAGCTCATTTAGAGGCTTACAAAAGAATAAAGATAGAGAAATGTGAGGCTCCTTTGCTGCTTCTGTACATGCTCTTCCGGGGTAAACCCTTTAATGGCCACTATTAAAAACACAGATATGAGCATTGCTGATCTGGAGACCTGAGCAGGCCCGACCTTAGGCAGCACAGACCAGAAGGGGAAGCTGTAGCTGTGAACAGAGTTTGCTTGTGGCTGAGGAGCGTAGAAATAAACTTTTCATCTGCCAGGCCAGGTTATTTTTGTGTGATGACTGCTTCCACTTTTGTTTACAACAGCAACACAGGTTAATTTCCTGAGCTTCTTTATGTTCCTTACAAAGCCCCGCAACACAAGCACCTTCTGCAGGGCTCAATGGAGGCTTTGTCTTCAGTGTGGCATGGATGTGCTTCCTTAGAGGCATGGGCTGGCTGCACATTGCAGCACTCTCACATGGTTTCCAATACTTTGAGTCTCCAGCCAGCAGCTCACAACAAAATATCTTCTTCTGCATATTTGAGATCAGAATTGAGGCTCACAGTGGAAATGTTGTCTGTGCAAACAGCCACGCTATTATTAGTACTTCCTCAATTATGGGAGCTACATGCAAGTCTTTGTTGAGAATTTTCATGGCATGTAATTTTTTTATGGTTGGAGTTTCTAAATATGAGCGAACTTGCTGCTGTTTTAAAATCTTTGGTTGTTCATTGTGCAGGGCATAATCTATATAATTTTAATGTATGCATTTCCTTCTTTCTACTAGAGTTACAGTGTGTCATAGAGGGGGCATTTTGACAGTGCTGGAGAGTGGTTGGATGTCTGTAGGTACAAAGCCTACCTATGACATTTACTTGCCTGCTTGAAAGAGTCTCAGTATGAGCAAAGGCGAGAGACACTACTAAACCAGTTGTTGGCTGCACATCTGGTTGTTAGCCTGATGCTTTTAGTTTGACTCCAGCATTTGAATGCAAATAGTACCTTGAACATTGTGAAAAGTTGCTGGAAGTATAGGAGGAGCTAGCTGAGTTTTCTCCAGCAGAGAGGGCCTACTGCTGTGTAGGGATGGGAGAGTGAAAGAACTTTGCCTTAAATGGAACTATCAGTAGGAAATTAATTTTCAGCAGGAGATGACTGTGTAGGGGAGGGTTTCAACTGGGAGAGGGGGGAAGAAAATGAAGTGTAGGTAAACATGTGCTAATATGAAATCTTAGAAAGTAATGAGTGTGGGGGAAAGAGTGATCAGGCATCACAGGAAGAGAAGAACAAAACAGATGCACTGCTCTGGAGGGCTGCACCAAGGCTCTTCTCTAAGTGCTTTCCAGCTGTTCCCAAATGTATCTGCACATAAACAGGCCTCCTGGGGCTATTAATCCAAAATTCCAGGAGAAAATCCAAGATTAAGTGGGAAAAGTATTTCTGTAATCCAACAAAGAATGGACATGTAAATGTGGTCCAACCAGAGCTGAATCAATAAATTCCTGGCCTCATTTAGTTATCTTCTATGGCCTTCATGGGCTTTCAGTGGAAAAGGCAGGGAAAGCTATGTCCATGTCTTTCCATAAATGTTGTTGGTATTTGGCAAGTTACTGAAAGTGCTTATTTTCTAATCATCATCAGGAAATTGGAAGAAGCCCTTGATATCAGAAACCAAGCAGTCCACCCATCACTCTTTTCCTTCTGTGCTCTGTGTAAAGATACCACAGGCTGTTTAGGAAAGCTTCTTTCTCCACCTGTAGAAATGTAATAGGAGAAAAAGGTAACTGTGTCTCAGAATTGAAAAAATTGCACCTACAAAGAAAAAGAAATGGCAGTTCTAAAAGGAGGAAGGAGGATGTTGGTGTCTGCTGTGGCGCCAGATCTGTGGGATCTGTACCTGACCTTGGCTTTACATGGTGCTCCAAACCCGTCTG